GCGGCCAGCAGCCCTGGCCAGAGGAGCGAGGGGGGATGCAGGCTGCCGGCTGGCAGCCAAGGCTGGTAGCCATGGGGGAGCAGTGGGCGCAGCCGGAGGGGTGGGGGGTTGGAACCACGGGGATGGCACGGCAGGGCCGGAGGAGCCATGGGGGGGGAGGGGCGGTGCAGCCGGAGGAGGAGCCAAGGGGTGTGTGGCCAGAGGAGGAGCCAAGGGGGGCGCCTTTTTTATGTTTGCTCCCCCTCCTCTTAGAAGCTGGCTACGCCACTGTTCCACATGCAGCTCTACCAATGCCCCTCAGTCCTGCCCTGCAGCCCCCTGCTATTCCAGTGCTGGGTTCCCCACACATATAGCTCTGCCAATGAACGTCAGCTCTCATCCATTATGCCAGCGCTGAAGATCCACATGCTCTGCAGTACTGACATTCTCACCACCCTGCCCTTCAGATCACCTGTCTACACAGATATCCGCTTGCAGGGTCCCTTGTTACTCCTGTCATGGACTCTGACGCCGGAACTCTTCTAATATTCTACTTCTGAGTTCCACAGTCTGTCAGTGCTCCTAAATCTCCACTCAGACTCCCATCTGCTATTCCAGTCCTGGGACCCACACAGCTCTGGCACCATGCCTCTCAACTTGCCTGTAGAATTCCCTCTCTTTTAGTCCTGAGCCCCCTCTTCAGCTCTGCCACTCAAAGCTCCTGAAGACAGATTTGAACCTTCTCTTGTTATCCCAATCCTACGCCAGCACACAGAGCTGCCAATACACCTTAATTCTGATCTGCAGCATATTCCAATTCTGACATGTCACGCTACTCTGCAGCACCTCCTGTTATTCCAGTCCTGGGTCTCTCCTAAGTATACCCTGATAACTCTGCAAACATTGTGCAGTGGTTTGTCTCAACATTTCACTTGTTACCCGAGGTAGGATTGTACCTGGGTCTTCAGAAGTCAAAACCTGAGCTCTAATCACCTGGTCTATCAAGCCTGGCCATGACATACCAATGCACATTTTAAGACGTCACTTTACACGATATTTCAGAGTTTACAAGCAGCAAGGTGCACTTCTTGCTGGACAGCCTTTCAGAGCCCCACGCTGAACCCATAAAGGGCTGCCTTCTTTAACCTTAATCCAGTGTCAAGAAAAAAAAGTTATATTAACTGTAGTTTGTACCCCAAATGCATTCAGAAACCAAAAACAATTCTGTAACATTTTAGGTTAAAAGACTTTATCTAAACAGCGAATTGAAAGAAAGAAGTTTCTTTCAGTGTGAGCCAATGTGCAATATTCACACATCGCCGGAATACCTTCTACTTAGGGTGACTGTATGCAGCAACCATTGTTGCTGCAATGCATGATCAGTCAGCATATGCAATGCCTAAAACAGCATAGCTGGATAGCCACTAGTTCATGAGGTGTCACAACATACATCCTGGTGGGGTATAACATTACCCCACACATGTATTATCAATTCTAACATGCAAGTTACATTTATGCAAAAAAACGTAGCTTGTTTTGTGTGGGAGACAGTTACCAGTATTACAATACAAGATAAATATTGTCACTGGAAGCAAACATGTATACGTAGAACTACTAAAAATACAGTATAACAGTGCAACATGTTTGGAGTACACTTGTACCTCACACACTTTTTGATGCAGAAAAAGTATTTTTTATGCTAAATTAAAATTTTCACTGAATTGTGTACATGTGCCTAGGGGACAATGTCTAAAACAGTATAATTGGAGGGCTACTATTTCATGAGTTATCACAACATGTATGCTTGTGAGACACAACACTGGCCAACAAATGTGGATGAGGGTTAAAGAGTTTTCCTTCGCAAGAACAAAGATGCTTAAATCCCTTCCTTCATCCCACAAGCTGGTGTTTCCATGGGCTATAGCTCAGGACTCTAAAGAAGCTTAAGATTTTGGTAGGGAAAAGTGAGATTTTGCCATGTATCCAAGGAAAGGAAGTGAGCTCAAGAAGGGGATGATTCTTATTAATGGTTTGTACTTTCCATAGTGCCGCCTAATGGCATCCTTGGCCAATTCCCATACAAGGCAGCTTCTCCACCTACCTCCATTTTCAAGGGCCCAGTTGTAGAACTCTTGAATTTTCTGCCAAGTTGAAGCCATCCCGGATCCCTGAATGGAAAGCAAAATGAGATTTAACCTTGTCTGTGATCACCTAACCCCATTATGCCACTCCAGGCTCCAAGTCCTGCAGTGTGCAGAGACTTCTGGTTACTCATAGACACAGTTTTAGGACTCAAGCTGGTCAAAAAAAAATGTGTGTGGTGGGGGAAAAGAATTAGCAATTAAAAAAATAAAATTTAAAATTGTGTTGAAATTTCAACAAATTTTCATAGAATTATAGAAGTGTTAGGCTAGAAAGGACCTAGAGAGGCCATCTAGTGCAGCCTCCTCAGACCAGATATACCTAGACCATTCCTGATAGTCTAAATATTCTTAAAAACTTCCTGCGATGGCTGATAGGACAAGGAGATCCAGGACTTCTGCTCTGCTTCAGACAGGAGTGTGTCTAGGTGTAGTTCTCTGTATGTGCTGAGCAGGCATAGCTTGAAATGTGGGCTAGTGGGTGTGCTTGCCAAGGTGTTCAACTGGGGAAAAGGTATTTCAAAAATATGCTGGTTTTTTAAAGGGGAAGGAGCAGATTCTGGTGTGTGTGACTCCTGGGCAATGGAGTTCAGAATGGAGTGGCTACTGTTGTGGGAACAGGGGCATTTTTGAACAGCTGCTGGAGGACTGTTAGAGTTGACACAGGTAATTCAGTGTCTATGCTAGCACTACGTTGGATGGAAGAAGGTAGACTTTGTCTTTGCCTTATTGGGGGTGTTGTTATTGCATTGATGTAACTGGGTGCCTGCATCACAACTTCCCTTGGAAGCCTGTTCCAATGCTTAGCTATTCTTATAGTTAGAAAGTTTTCCCCAATATCTAACAATCTCTCTTGCTGCAGTTTAAGCTAATTATTCTTGTCCTGTCTTCAGTGGACCTGGAAAACAATGGATCAAGATTCCCTTTATAATAGTCTTCAAATATGGGCTGTTACTGGGTCAGTCTTCTTTTCTCAAGACTAAACATGCCCAGTGTTTTAACATTTCCTCATAGATCAGGTTTTCTAAACCTTTTATCATTTTTGTTGCTCTCCTCTGGAATCTCTCCAATTTATCCACATCTTTCTTTAAATGTGTTACCCAGAATTGGATAAAGTACTCTAGCTGAGTTCTCACCAGTGCCGAGTAGAGTGGTACAATTACCTCCTGTGTTTTGCATACCACACTCCCGTTAATATACCCCAGAATAATATTAGCCTTTTTAGTAACTGCATCATACAATGGATCTCAAATTGAGTATGAGTTTAATCCTCAGAGCCTTTTCAGCAGTACTACCACCTAGCTAGTTATTCCCCATGTTGTATTGGGCATTTGACTTTTTTCTTCCCGCTTGTCTTTATTGAATTTCATCTTGTTGAATTCAGACCAATTCTCCAATTTGTCAAGGTGTTTTGAATTCTAATCCTGTCCTCCAGAGTGTTTGCAGTCCCTCCCCTCTTGGTGTTATCTCTGCAAATTTATAAACACACCCTCCACTCCAAGTCATTAATGAAAATATTGACTAGTACTTGACCCAGGACTGACCCCTGTGCCACCCCACTAGATACATCCCCCCAGTTTACTAGAGAATCACTGACAATCCGCTTTGAGTATGTTTAATCTGGACCACATTTCCCTAGTTTGCTTATGAGAATATCATATGGGACTGTGCCAACTGCCTTACTAAAAATCAAGCTATATCACATCTACAGCTTCCCCCATCCACTAGGCCAGAAACCCTATTAAAGAAGGAGATTGGGTTGGTAATTTTGACCATCTCTATAACCAGGTTAAAAAAAATGGAGGAAAAATGTCATGAAAATTTAGTCTAATTTTGGTGGGGGAGGGTCACTACATTTTCTTGCAATTTCAACATTTTAAATATTTTGTCTAGCTGCACTCAGGACACTAGAGCTTTGGTCCCAATGTGATGACGGGCAAAGTGTGTGAAAGGTCCAAGAGATGAACAGAGTGTGCTATACTGTACCCTGTGGAGGGGGATGCGGGTGGGGATCACTGAAGCAATGTATCCCTTTTTATTAGCTCACATGGCAAAATAGTCACTCTGGGACAAACACACAATCATCGCCTTACACACCTGTCACAGACTCACTCCGACAGATTTATCACCTGCTGCAACTCCAGTCAGAGCAGGGATGAATTTGACTTCTTGATGCCTACTCGGCACATTGTACTGTTTTACCTACACTGGTGTACATAAAGTGGAATGTGTTAAGGGCTCCCCTTGCCAGTAATTCCAGATTCCCACCACTTGCTTTGCGAGGAAGACCTCTCCTACAGCCTTTGGGGAGGCAGGAATTGACCCAGAAATCACTCCCAGCTCTGTCATCAGTAACAAATCAGCTTTATCGGTCCCCTTCATCAGCTAACACACAGTCCCAACGACCATCCCCAGCATCAGCCACTCAGTCACTGACCAGGGTTCTTCTTCCCTTTGGGTTCTGGCTTCATTTCATGTATGCTGCAAGCAGATCAGTGTGGTCACACGCTCAGTCTGCTCCCTGGGCTGGTCCCCAGACTCTCAGCTTGCTATGTCATTCCAGCAGCAGTAGCAGCTGGTGCCTTCTCCAGTAGCCTGAGCAGCCCCTTCTTAAATGGCAATCCCACCCTCCAGTCACAGGAGGACTGGTAGATGCAAGTAGGCACAGGATTTTCTACCAGCTCTCTAGCCAACCAGTGGTGTGGTGAGGGTGGAGAGACCAGCTTCTCCTTTCTGCTTATCCCCAGCTGACCGGGGCTCCAGGGTCAGAGCCAGCCTTCCCAGCACTGCTATTTATCTGCGGAGGTGGGTTCCACAGCGACAACAGCTGCAGCTCTGTCCGCATACAGATGCTTTATACTGGTATAATTGTATCTACACTAGGGGTTGTGCAGGTGCAACTATTTCAGGGTGGGGGAGGGGAGAGGAAAGACACCTCTGACTGACATAGCTGTAGTAGTACAAAAATTAGGACTAGACCAGGCCTGACACTATGGGCCAAATACTGTTCTCGTTTACATCATTGCAAATCTGGAGGAAAACCATTACAGTTAGAGATCTCATTATAGATTTACATTGGTGAAACAGAGCCAAATTTGGCTCTCCCTACTTAGGTGTTTATAGCACTCCTAACACCTGAGAACCTAAATGCAATCTGACAGACACCCAATCACACCCTAAAATATACACAGCAATCACACTCAAAGACACACACAAGGCTCTTTCTCTCTCCCACACATGTAGCAATCACACACACCTCCACTTTCATTTTTTCATTCTCACACACTCTCCCCCCCTCCCCCGGCATTGATGCCCTCTGACACACTCACTTATATACACACTGTGACACAAAAGGTACACACTCACATCACCTGAACAGAATTCTCCAGCAGAGATCTGTCAAGGGATTAACAGCAGACTCTGAGTCAAACCAAGGAGGATTTCCTTGTGGTTATTTATACACACACACACACTTTATACACAGCTCAGCTTGCTCCACTCCAGCTCTTTTTCTCCCAAACAGTGAGTTGAACCCCCAAGCAAAAGAGAACCCCATTACACAGAGCAGACTTATCCTTCCAGGGGAGATGCTGTAACTTCTCTCTTTTTCTAGGAATACTGTCAGGGTGCAGAAATCTTTCTAGTCCCTCCTGATACACCCCAGAGACAGCAGAACAAAGAGCTGCCGGAGTCTGTGCCGTTGAGCAGGCACCGTGCCACATTTCCCTCTCCTCACCTGAAGAAGGTGTCTCATCCGCTGGGTTCCCACACAGATGCTCTGAATTCTGGCTCCTTGACAAGATTCAGGGTGTGGTGTTCACCACCAGTGACTGTGAGCTGCAAACACCACCATTGCTGAAGGCCCTCTCTGACTTTGCCTGATCTGGAGTTACATCACATTCCCCTCCCCCACTCCGTTTTACTGTTCCTCACGTGCTTTGTCAGATTAAGGGATTGGAAGGACTGAGAAAACAAAGGTTGAATTGGGCTGAGCTTCCATAGGAATGAACCTCTGACCTTCGGCCTCGTGCCTGGGAATGATGCCAACTCTTCATGTTTAGAACCATGAAAGCCTTCTGTATTCTGACTCAGGACATGCTTTGGCAACTTTTCAACCCCTGAGAAATGCGGAAGGGTGGGGCGACTTGATTGGGCAAAACTGGAAAAAGTACTATTGGCAGCACTCTTACAGAGCTTCCCCCACCCCACCCCTTGAGGATTTGTTCAATGGGATTTTCCATCTCCAAAAGTGACAAGTCCGAATCAGATGATGACAGCAGAGAAAGTGCTGAGAGCACCCAGCAAATAAACCCTCACTGGGATGTGGGATGGGGACACTGAGAGCAATCTCTTTCATTATTTCCAGCCTCCATCCCTAGGGGAAGCACCTGGACCATCTTTAAATGAGACAGGGAGAATTCTCTGCATGATCACCAAGTTTCGTTCTTTAGGTGTTTTAAGGTGGGCTCAATGCCACCACCAATGAGCACTGGCTGGAAATTCCCCCTCTGGGATCTCCAGCTTCCATTCCTGAGAGCAGGATTAACTCTTTGGAAACTATGATTTTCCCAGTGAATGTGTAATATCATGAGATTTATAGCTTCCAAGGCCAGAAGGGGCCATTGTGAATAATTCCTTGATCAGATCTTTTAGAAGAACATCCCATCTTGATTTAAAAACTGGCAGTCATGGAGAATCCACCACAGTCCAAGACACAGTATTCCAGCAGTGGTCACAAGACTGCCAAATACAGACATAAAATAACCTCTGTCCTCCTACTCAAGATTTCCTCATTTATGCATCGCAGGATTGGCCACAGCACTGGAGTTCATGTTGAGCTCCAAATCTTTTTCAGTCACTGCTTTCCGAGACAGAGTCTTACATTCTTTGTTCCTAGAAGTACATATTTACATTTAGCCATATTTAAAGGCATATTGTTTGCTTGCTGAATCACTGATCTGTCCTCTTCATTATTTAACACTCGCCCAATTTTTGTGTCATCTGCCAACTTTTTCAGAGATGATTTTATGTTTTCTTCCAGGTCATTAATAAAAATGTTAAATAGCATAGAGCCAAGAACTGATCCCTGCGGGATCCCAGAAAAGCATACCTATTCAATGATGATTCCCCGTTTACAATTCCATTTTGAGACCTATCAGTTAGCCAGTTTTTAATCCATTGAACGTGTACCATGTTAATTTGATCTTTCTAGGTTTTTAAAATCAAAATGGCATGTGGTAGCAAGTCAAATGTCTTCTAGAAGTCTACATATATTACAGCAAGACTATTACCTTTATCAACCAAATTCAGAGGTTAACATTCCAGCACCCCTCATATCACTTCCACATGCTCATTAGTAGACATACCACAACCACTCTGAAGAGCAAAAACATGTAGTCTAATCTCCTACTTCAATTTGAAAAGAAATAAAAATTAGGATATAGTATGAGCTCCTGTAAGAATCTTGTAGTGTTTGACTGAAATGCCCTGCCCTGCTAGCAGATGCTGACACTGTTGGGAAAGGATTAAGTTGGTCCTGCTGACTCATAGAGGGAATAAGGGAAATTGTCGTGATTCTCTGAGGAGGAAGTTCTAGAAGGTATGGGCTGAGCAGCCATTAGGGAGGACCCATAGGAGCAGCCAAGCCTGGGGAAAGGTTTGAGTGGACCTTTGTTATCTTAATGTTGTTTTGTTTGTCAGTCCCTACTCCAGGAAGGGGCTGACATTGGACTCTGCCTACTGTGTTTGCAGGGCATTTGAGGACAAACACCTGCTCACAGTTCTTAATTAGCCAATTAATTCACCAATTACATTTCTGAAGCTTGGGTGCCCAAGCTCTTGGTGGGGTATCTGCAAAAGCTCTCCTCACATTCCTTGGCTAATTTAATGCCACTTTAAGCAACAACAATGCCTCATTATTTCTAGCTCATTTTCAAGAGCAGCAGGTGAAGACAAGTTTAGTGATCAAGCCAATTTGCTTTCTTTTTAAATTTGAAATTACTAAGGGGCACAGGGTAGTTGTGAAAATGAAGTAATTATAGTAGCGGTTGGAGAGAATGAATCTCTGTAAACTGGGACAGATCCCCAGCTGGCATAAAGTAGCATAGTTCCACCGAAGTCAGCCGAACGATAACAATTTATACCAGCAGACAGTCTGGCCAAATGCTCCGTCAGAGCATGGTAGTCCTTACCTGCAGCAGTAATTGCTTCTGATCAGACATGTTAATCTTCCCAAGTTTACATGGGCCAATGTCCACTGAGAACTTGAATGCGATCATTGCATTCATTGCACCCTAAACAGAATCTAAATCAAGTTTTAATTAGTCCATTGTGCTACTGCTAACCAAGGCCAACAAATAGTTGAGGTAGAACAGAGTCTGATCTAATTCCCACCTAAGTCAATGGGTGTCTTTCCAATGACTTCTGTGAGAGTTGGATTAGACCCTTAGTGCTATTGGTAGATAAAGAATGGATACACTTGTGCAAATAAGTGAATATTATTTGGAAAGTTTTTAACTGTTGTAATGGGTGTTTTCATAAACCGTTGCTAAGCACAATTGTCAGGAAGGTAATATTCTGGAAAGTGTTTGAATAGATGTTTTTACAGCAATACAATTTCCTACGGAACCAGTACTGAAACACTCATTTTGTTATGTTAATATGCAATTATCAGTTCCTGAACCTTTTTAACAGTGTACAAATGGAGTAAGATTTTTCAGGTGGATTTTTGGAGACAAACAACTATCAATAATATTTGAGTAACTATGAAAAGCACTGCAATTTCAGCCTGCCCTGTTTTAGGGATCCCTACTCCATGGGGACAAAAAGAAAGAGTCACAGGTGAAAAACAATTTTGCCCTGTTCTTGTCAGTGCCAGTGAAGCCTACCAGTTGAAGGGGGAATTGGGAATCTGGACACCTGGATTCTATTTCTTGTTTTTATTACTGACTCATCATGTGCCTTTACTCAATCAGCTAACCCAGGGATTCTCACAACAATTTTTTTGATGGCCTCAGAGTCCGGACACCAATTCTTGCTGGTGGCTGCTGTGACAATTTTAACTAAAATTCCTAACTAAGTTTAGGAAAGACAAAATATATGCCCATATACACATCCCAATCATTGCAATTTTTTTATGTTGGGATTTTTGGCAGACTGAATAATAAAAATAATGTACACTTTTCTCTATCCTTTACTGGACCTCAACAGAATAGAAACACAAATAAGGTGCTTTGCACATTCTTGTCTTTTTGGTTGTTATTTATTTTGCTTTGTGGGTGCTTTATTTAAGAGTTGCTAGCTAGTAACTGCTGCTGTGAACAGTGATATTAACAAACATACAAATATCACTTTTCACAGCAGCAGACTTATTCAGCCCTGGCAAGCCCAGGGACAAAATAAGTCCTAGATGAGGGGCCAGGGAAGGCAGTGGAGTCCAGGGGGGAATGGATGGGGGTTGAGCCCAGGGCCAGAGCCTGTTGCCTGCCACCCCAGGGAAGGTGGGGAACTCACTAGCAGCCTGTTCCTTCAGCATTTGTGTCTCCAGAGGGGAGCAGAGCCCAACCCTCCCTGGCGGCCTTGGGGGAGGGCCACTGCTTTTCTCCTCTCCCCCATCACTACCCAGGAGGCTGTGGCCACAAGAAAAGCCCCTGGTGGCCACAAGTGGCCACGGTGGCCGCATTTGAGAAATACTGAGCTAACCTCTCTGTTCCAGATCCTCAAAGGTATTCAGGGACTTGAAATCAATGAGCGATAGGTACCTAACTACCTTTGAGGATCTGTGCCTCAGTTTCCCCATCAGGAAAATAGCGATAACTACCTACCTACCTCACCAGGGTATTGTGACGGTTACTCAATAATGTTTTTAAAGGAGCTGTATGGTCAGTTATATTCAGTTAATTTTGAATGGGAGACATGAGCTCTAATCCTAGCTCTGCCACTGACTTTTGTGACGGTGGGATAATCATGCTCTGTGCCTCAGTTCCCTCCCCTTGTCTGTCTTGCCTGCTCAACTTATCAGCACTATGGGGCAGGAACTGTCTCTCTCATTATGTGTTTACACAATGGGGGCCTCAGTTTTAGTCAGGACCTTTACCGACTACTGTCATAGAAATAATAATAATAATGAAGATAATGAATGCCACTTCAGTAGGACCTAGCTCAAAATCACCAACTCATTTGACAAAGGCTACTGAACAGCTGACAGCTCGGCATGCTTTTTGATCACTGTTGCTCCAGGGCTGGATTTTAACTGGTAACTTTAGAAGAGAAAGGCTCTGCTACCTCTTCTAATCCCCTGGACCATTCAGCACCCAGGCCCCAAGAGCTGCAAATCTAACTTGATCAACGGAGGGATCGTCCTGTGACATTTTAAATTCCTCATGTATTCAAAGCTCAGTTCCCTAAAGACAGCTGCAGCACAGGCAGTTTTATGATTTACAGTGGCTTTGACAGCGATGTGGGAAGGCAAAGGAGAGAAAGTGTCCAGAAGCTTGTCCCTGTCATAGTGCTCTGTTGAGCAGAGAATATTAACCATACTAAACTATAATTGATGGAAGCCTCTGGTATAAGGAGCATTTTGGATACTGGAACGTCTCAGATTCACCTCACGCTTAGCTGCCAGCAGCAGGATGCATGTCTAGTCATTGCAGTTTGTGTAGTACCCAGATAAGGACACAGTATTGTTACCAGATTTGTTCGTTACTTTGGGGTACACTCATTTATTAAGGTTACTCTTTTGGGGGGGGAGTTTCTCTAATTCTATCAATGTACTGCTTGTGTCACTTGTGTTCTCATACGGAGCTCTACTTCTGCAAGTTCCCTCCCAATGGAGCTATCCTGCAGGACCTCGGTTCCCCAGGGCTGGGTTTTTTCAGCCCCAGAATCTGTCTCTCTCTCTCTCTCTCTCACACACACACACACACACACACACACACACACAC